AATTATCATAATTAAATCTTAATGTCTAAAATGACTAAAAAGCTGCTTAAATTTCCCTTTAAAGACACTTTACTTTTGATTTTCTTAATGGGTAGTATGTTTGGTATACACACTTTTGTCTGTGTAGAAGCCTTACAGGGAGACATTAATTTTATGTAATGGGTAGATAAATACTTCTACTGTATTTATCTAACAATATCAAATTAATCAGTGTTAGTAGTGGAAGGAATGAACAAAAGCGGCATTGTAAAGTCACCTAGATGAGGCCCTATTGTCAAGAGCAGTACAAATGAGTTGTGCTCATGTAGAAATATACCCCTGCATCTTTGCACCATGTTTATATTGTAGTATCCATTTTCATGCTATGCATTAAAGGAAGGTTTCTGCACAGATTCTAAATTATTAGTTTGAACAGCACAAGGAACATCAGATTCTTTGTCCTGCCAATTGAGATGCTTAATTCCCATGATCCCACACAAATCATCAAGTGCCTTCCGGCTTGTCATACTGTAAACTCTGACTATCTACGCTTTCAATGAATCTTTGTGTATGAAAACTGCTATTAGGTTTCATTCAGAAGTGGTGACACTGACAGCTTGTGGAACGTTTTGCAACCATCACTTTACATTAGTGCTGTGTTTTTGCTCTAGAATGCAGTATGAACAACTTCTTTAAATTTAACACACATCATCATTGGTTGTCAAATGTCACTGTTGATATTGTGGGGAGCACTTTAACTGTATAAAGTTTACATGTTTGGGTTATGTTATGCTATGTTTCCCCAAAATAGGGCAGAGTAATGCTTTATATCACATGGATTTAGAAGAAAAAAATAGTTTCAATACATTCAGATGACAGTATTTAATCTGTACAATTTGTGTTAAATGCCTTGTAATGTTGCCTGTTGTGATTATTCACAATATGAATATCTCACTGACACACCACCACCCTTTAATGAAAGGGTCATTCATTTACATAAATTATAACCTGTATACTTAACAGGTGTTATTAACTGACAAACCACTTTGTAGACAGTAGCTAACTGTGGTTCCAGTCTGTTCGGTCTGTCTGGTATTCTTGCAATCATGACATGTATGCTTGCAGTATGGATTTCATCTCAACCTTCTCCAAGTCATTCAGCGTATCCCTCAGTAAACTAGTTAATCAGTAGGTGTACCGTTACTGTTATTTTTAACTGTCGGAGCTCTGCATGCACCATCTGAGCAGTGTCAAGAGATTTTCAAATTTAACTTTGACATTGGAGAAGTGACAGTGTGTGGCATAATTAGTACTGTTTGTTTAAATGCACTTTTAAAATATCAATCAAAAAAGGTTAACACTGTACATCACCACTAGTGGTGCTGTGGAGTGTCTCTGTGTTGTGTAGAGTGGAATTACAAACGACTGTGCACGCTCTTCTTCGTGCTTCAATCACCATCTCCTGTTCTGAAGTTGTAGCAGCATCAACAGGTAATATGTGTCATTATTATTCTGTCATGGGTAATAAAGATTTTTGCACATTTGTTTGGTCTTGTTCTTGAAACACTTCCATTGTAAGAATGTATTTTGTTGTACTTCGATTTAATAAATATACAGGGCATGTTTTAAGATTGCTGTATTACTTAGTCACAAAGTGAAATTGTGTGTATACAACAGACAGCCTTCATTACATTATTTGGATGATATAGTATACACAAATAACTTAACTTTTTAGAAACACTTTACTGTTTTTGTTTAATGTGTATCTCACAACCAATGCTGCTAGAACTTAGAAAACCACTGAACCATTCAAAAGACAACACTCCACGTGGCTTAATTTTATCTGGAGGTTTTCTTTTTTCTTGTGAGGGGCGACAACTTTTGAAGAAGTGATGTTTTTCAAGTGCAAGAGTCAAAACGATGGATAAATGTCTGGTTGCCCAGAGTTCCAGTTCACTTGGTGAGGTCTTTCAGGTACTGCAGACCCTGACTTGAATAGTCAGTTGCCTTAGTTGGAGCCTCCGAAAGAGATGAAATGGTCCACCGTACTCCTGTAATGAAGGAAAAATGAATGGCTTGGGTTTGCAGCATCAAAGACCAGGTCCAGATAAAAAAGAGCTAAACTAGCTAAAGGAAAATGTTGAAATAGATCACTACACAAGTGAAGCTCACATCCACACACTCAAAAACCAAAACTCATGACATGACTTATGTGTAAGGTCACTTCAGAAAGAGCTTTTCATTCAGTTCGTACCAGAATTCCATGACTGAATTGGAGAGAATTCCACCTTCGGCATGGCTGGGAGCTGAGTCTGCGGAGAGATAGGACTCATTAGTGTGAAACGGTAAATATTGTGGACACGCTGCAGCGTACACAATCTACACACATAGAAGCAAATGCAAACAAGATAATGAGTCAAATATGAAGGAGCCAATATTGGCTGAACATCATGAGTTCAAATCTAATGCAAACAAATAAAACTGAGCCTCAAATTCTACCTTAATAAAGATTCATTTTGACACTAGCAGAAATGTTTCAAACTATAATGTATATTGTCAAAGTGAACACATTTCTATATCATGGATTTCGGTATAACGCTAACACTTACTATGCCTGTAGTAAGAAACATACAGTAATGTGGAATTGTCGTGGCAATTCTGCAATCCCATTCTGACAACGAGGAACCAGACAAAAATCTCTTACAGTATTGTCACACTTTAATGCTCAGAGCATGGTACACAAGACAAAGGTTAGTTTGTAATATGCACGCCGATGGGAAGCTGTTCTTATCAACATTAATCCCTTACAGGATTAAAAGCTTTTTAAAAGCAGGAAGCTGTTCATTGCTGGAATGTGATGTCTTGTAAAAATTCTGTGAGGGATGGGCATATGCAGATGTAAATGAATGTTGATGGGTGTGATCATATTGTTCGAAAGCCAATTGTTATCTAAACACTGTTTACTTTTTTTCCTGCTCTGTAAAATACCATTCAACCCAACACAGTCAGGTTCTTTCTTTATCCGACTTGTACAATGAAAAACAAACACGAGACTGAAACAGACACATAGAGGACTGTAGGAGTGTACAACACTGATCAGACAAGATGCAGTGTGTATCTGCCTTACATATGTTCTGTCTTTGTAATGCCATGATCCAGGGCTGTGTTGGGTCATGGTAAAATATTAACTCAGTGCATGTTATCTTTACCTCCAGGCCAAAGTACTTCATCCATTCCTGTATGGCGGGGGGTATTGCAGCCTTGGCCTTCTCCAGGGCCTCTGAGCCCTGCTCACTGCCCCCCAGCAGACCAGAGTCACAGGCGACATACAGAGCTCCTCCTGCTATGGTCACCTTAGCGGCCAGTCTGGCAACGAAAGAACAGATGGAGTCAAGACTTTGATCAGAAATATCTATTCCCCTGGCACCTTTCAAAACAGACAAAAGGCACGGGTATACTTCACCACTGTAACAGCGTTAGAGAGAGTATTGATCTATTTAAAAGCATTAGCAAACAAAACAGGCCAAACGTCCAAACCCAACTGATGATTACAGAATTCACTGATGTACCTGCTACATAACTGAGCCATATAACTACCAAGAGTAAAGAATATAAAGACGACAGATGCAATGCTCCTTGACAGATGAACCAACTTAGCATCGGCCAGCTAACGGCCTAGCCGAGCTGCTAGCACCTACTGACAGCATTAACGACTTAAGTGGAAGTATGGGCGAATTTAAAAGTACGAACTTCACTACGGGCAAAATCTTTGCCGCCATGATCCAGAGCGGTGTGGTTTCCTTCAGAGAACACGTATTCCAAGTACGATACGGATGAACAGTGGGGACTGCTTTATGTTTAGCACTGAAGGACGAACCCTGCTTGTCTCCCACAAGGTTTGTGTCAATAAAGTTGCTCTTTCAAACGCTAAGGCTGACGGTATTTAACAGCCGCAGATTCGTCATATCGCTGTTTATGCATTTAAAGCCATTTAAATATTTATTATTATTTAGTTTTGTATATAGAACAACTGTAGTTACTGTTTCAATCTGTGACTCATAGACCTATATATATATTTTATTTTATTTTTTCTTCTGTTCTTGCAGACTGTTTGCGGACCTTTTTCTTCTTCTTTGAGGTTTAATGGCGGTTGGCAAACAACGATTTTGCGCGCTACCGCCACTGGCCTGGAGAATTTAATAATATTTTTTATCAAACCATATCCCTGAAAACATTTTCTTTCTAAGTCTTTCCAATTTTTGATTAAAGAATTTCAATTTTACCTCACTATCAATTATCTTCCTTGTAAAAATGCCATCTTTGTCCATAGACTTTATATTAAATGTGTCATCAAGTGAACACATTAAACCCCCTTTGTATGACCACTCTTTTATTTTTGTGAAAGAATAAAAATTATTGTAAGGTCCAATCCTGTGGCTGGTTCAGTTGCATTTTATTCCCTGCACAGTGGATATCTGTACTCAGATGTAAGTAAGAAAGTATTTAAAGGGCCATCTTCATAGATAAGTAAAACTATATTTACACACCAGTAAAGTCAAAGTAAACTTCATTGTCATTCAGACCATACAACAAGAGTTTCCACAGTAGAACAAATTTGCACAAATAAACAGGAAAGTACACAACATAACAACATTTTGTCACATTTAGCTTCAAACCATGTTTAAAAAACTGGTGTGAATTTTTGAGAGTCCCCTTTTTGCGCATTTACAACAATATTTGTCAACTTAGAGATATTTTAAATATTTAAATCCAAATGTTAAATG